CAATTTTTGTAATTCGACCAAAAAGGCCAAACTCTACTCTGTAATTTTTTTCATTGCAATAGATTTAACCAATAATCAGAAAACGATTTTTTCCTAATAAAATGCTAAATAAGTTAATATTTTATGTTTAATTTATAATTATATTTTAACTAATCTTATTTGAAAAAACGAAATTTTACAGTTGGTTCCTAATAGTATAATGTAAAGGGAAAATATAAATTTAAATTAATAAAAAGAACATTAGATAACAAGAAAAAGAATAAAGCATAGTTTATTAGAAAAAACTATATATTTCAGTATACCATAAGAAAATTAAACAGTATATTACAATCTTAAAAATACTAAAGTTTTTAAGAAAATTGGTATAAAAAATTATCTAATTACACCAAAAAAAACTGACATTAAATAATTAGAAACCACTCATAATTAGAAGTTAGATCATTTTCACTCATGATAAACCATAAGAATATGAAATTTTCTAAAGAATATGAAATTAAAAAGCAGATTATAAATTCACAACCAAAATGTTTTTTGCTATTCCTTTTAATTCAGCTAGAGTTAATTTTTTTATTTCATATTACTCACATTAAGTTAATGCATAGAGTGATTATTGTTATATTAGTGTAGTCATGTAGAATAATCATGCTTTAATTATAGTAATCTCATTATTTTGTATCTTAATAATTTTATGATTATCGATAACTTTATTTTTAAATTCTCGTATTATATATTTTCATGGATAATCTTATTTTGTTTTATATGTTTTTGTTTTTCGTTTTTACAAGAATCTTCCATCCAACAACTTCTATATACCTATTGTGTTCTTCATAATCTTAATCTTGGGAGTCCCACTCATCGCCGTCCCAAAAAACAATATGTTTTTTATGCGACTTTCAAAGCCTTTGGCAGTTTTAGGAGTTATTATCTCTTCAATTGGGTATCTTCTGAAATGAAGATTGAAGAGAATACCTAAGTGTGATGATTGATAAAAATTGCATATTCAAATTTTGTGCACATACTTACTTAGAAGAAAAAGACTTTGACCAATTTTTTTAGAGTAAACCCTTATTTACTCTAAAAACAGTGGATGATACTCTGGCAGAAAAATGTTGGATTCCGAAAATGATTTTGGTCCTTTGCGGTTGTCCTCTAGTCGCTTTCGCCTTCCCGAAGCTCATGAAGCTCATGAAACTCAACCTCCCAAATCTGAACATAGACGACAATGTTGAGCTCTGTGAAGGCTACCTATTTGCTGGATTTGGATTGATAGATAGCAAAAAGAGGTTCGCCACTGGATAGTTATTTGCATTGGACCAAGCTTATTGCTGATAAAAAATTACTTGAAGATCAAGAGGAGTAGAGGAGAAACCATGACTAACACCAACAAACCAGAGAATGCTATGGTTTAGATCAATATCCATGTCTCATAGTCCTTTTTTACTTATTTGTAAATTCTATTGTTAGGAAAAAAAAACCTTTGAAAAGGATCTTCTGTACGCCATTGAAACGCCATTGAAAGAGTTTTGAAACTTTCAGTTCAAAAATTGTATGTGTGGGCTCTGCACGATTTACTGCTTCTTCCACACTTTTAGTATGTTACAGTCCCTTCTCTTTAACTTCCAAAGACGAATAACAGAAAAGATGGAGACCAAATTATTAGGGAATATTATCCCATATCAAAAAGGGATCCTAACTAATTTATAAGAGACATGACCCAATACACTCATTGCCAATTGTTTTGAATTGGAAGCTCATATAACTTAACACAAATCATTTTTTTCTGATCATAGTCACTTAAATTGTTGTTTAATATCAGTTAGAATCTGTTTTGGAATGTGATCATTAGCTGGACAACATGATCTTCTGGTTCAACTTCTGCATTCGGGACAATTATTGATGTGTGTGCTTCTTTATTACCACGACCTGATGAACCGAAAAGGATCGATGTCCTAAGAAACCTGTCTCAAAAAGGACTTTCTTACGCCTTTTGATGCGTCTGTTTTTATGCTGAAACAAAAGGGTGTTTTTACAAATTATCAATGGAAAGAAAAACAGAGTTGTATCTGCAAACGAATAGAAGAAGGAAAGATAAACAGAACTGTCAACCGGTTTTTTTTTTCCTTTTTTTTTTCACGTGAACCCTCTCGGTTTCTTCAACGGAAGATCGCTCTCCTTTGTTTAGCTATACGCTTTGTTCTATCTCTCCACTGCTCTTCTCTTGAAGGTCTTTATCAACAATAACTGTCAATCCTTTTGTCTCCCATCTCTTTCTTGCTCTCTAGTTCTCTTTTTTTCCTCCTCGGCCCATGATCTAAACAAATAACATATGAGGATTCAGCCACTCAAAATACGGTTATGGACATATCGAAAAAGGCTTTACACTCATTGATTAGATAACCTAATGCAGGTAAAATTCTTTGACATTATAAACATAATGTATACTGTAGAAGAAGTACCTGGCCATGGACAGTACTTTACGCTTCCAATTCATACTGCAACTTTGAAATCCGTTGGCTCTCTTCTTCAGCGTCTTTTTCGAAGATTGTAAACCCTCTCCTTCTCAAAAGATATCTCCGCCTTGCTGTTCATCAAATCCTCCAGCTTCTCTGCCGCGTCACGTCTTAACCTTGAGAGCACCTCCATTTCTGTAGACTTATATATATATCCATATCCGACCCCTTAGCAAAAAAAAAAAAGAGCTTTTCCGTAGCTGGCCACTTACGATGAATATTTGGCGAAATATGACAGATTCTTTGTTTTGCTACTATGAATAGTCAAGACAAATGATGATATTAATCTATTCATATATATATATATATAGATATATATATATAGACGTTTTTTTATATCATATGGTACCATGCATGATGCATATATGTAGACATATACAATACTGATATACTTATATAAGCGAGAGAGAGAGAAAGAGGGAGACAAGAAGAGGGTGAGCACGCAGAGCTTTCGAGCATGAGCGTGCTAGAAAAAGGGAGCCATGTGTGCTCACTCTCTTCTGTCGCCTTCCTTATTGTGATTCACTTACCTCCCTTTAATTAGCATCTCTTCATCTTTGTGCATCCATATTTATATAGTATCTTCATGTCATATTAGCTAGCCACGATCCCTAAGTTTACATTTCTCTCTATGACTCTATCGTATGATATGATATGAAACAATTGTGTCTGATTTAAGGGTTTATATATATATATATGTATATATATGGTTTACTGAGCGTGTATAACAGTGCAAGCATGCATCATCATCATCCACTATCATCATTTATTTTACTAGAAATATTCCATTGGATTAAACCCTTACTTCTTGTCAATTTGAGCGTCTAGATTCCCTCTTTTCAATATTATATACACACATGTGTAGAGTATTATTAAAATTTAAAAGAGATCATAAAAAATATTCTTAATTGATCTAAAACGAGACTCGATCAGTTGTGCTCTAACTTAGAGTCTCTAAGATATGTTTTATGAAAAATAGAAACTCTATGTACAACACATTGATCAGAAGGGTCGCAAATTCTTTGTTAAAGAAAACAAACTTGTAGTTACTAAACTGTTACATGATTAGGCAGTTCTCCATAATAAATTGGTTTTATGATGCGAATGTAGATGTTAAAAGCTTCAGTTTTCTTTTTTAGTTTATATAAATATATACGTACTAACCAAAAAGACGTATCGAATTGGAGTGTTACAATTTGATCTCGCATTCGCAACTCAAATGTAGAGCGAGATATCCCGCTTAACTAATTATAACAAATAAACTACATCTATTTGGTTATTGACTTATTGCATAAACAAGCACTTTATACAAATAGATTTGACAACTAAACAAATAAAAACACAATTAGCTATATACATATGTTTTAGATCTATGTTTGGGATCTTCCCAAACTAGTTAAGATCTCTAGAACACACACTGGTTATCCAATCAGAGAACAGAGGAATAAAAGTATCTTTTGCAAGGACGAATGTTAAATCGAAACGTAAGCCCAAGAAATTGATAGAAAAATGGAATTAAAAGCGAATATTACTAAATTTTGGAGTAAATTAAGTAAAGCCAAAAGATGCTAAGGGTAATGTATTGTGAATTCCTTCCTCTCACTAAATTTTATATTGTTTTGCGTTTGATTTGATTGGATTCTCTCCCTTGTTCATGTGTTTGATGCACGCAACACGCATAAGCGGTCCCCCTTAATTATATACGTTTCTCGAAACACCAACTTTTTCAAACATTCATCACTTTAATTTACGTGGTATCAATAACTAAACTACAAATAAAAAATATTTAGGTTTTTTTGAAGTGCAATGCTTGTTGTATCTTCTCTCGTCATTAAGGACGTATGCACTGGGCATATCCATACAAGAAATGAAGTAGATTCTACGAGTAACATTAACTAACTACCTGATGGTGTATATACAGTAGAAACTCTATAAATTAATACTCGATAAATTAATAAACACGATAAATTAATAATTTTTCATGGTCTCAAATTGGGCGAGTTCAAAATATGATATAACTCGATAAAATAATAAGATAATAATTTTAACAAAACTCCTATGTAAATATTTGGTCCCAGTAATATTATAAATTAATAATTACCATAAAAAAGTTTTGATATAAACATAAAAGTGAGATAATCTACTAAAAAATGAGTTTAGAGATATTTTTAATTTTATTTTAAATGAAAATCTTCTTAGAACTTATTTTTAATTTTAGAAAGATTTTTTTTAAAGATTATAATGTTTTAACAAATATTTTTAAAAATTAAGAAAAAACAAACAATATTTTTTTCTTTGAAATCTATAAATTAATAACTCTATAAATTAATAAAATATCAAAGTCCCAACATTATTAATTTATAGAGTTTTTTACTGTATATATATACTTTTACATGCATGGTTGATATGGAGTATGTATGCAAATTGTCAACACTCAAAATGGCAACGTCCAAAATTTTCATGTATCTTGCTTGATTCATTGTGGGAATGGTTCAATTGGCTAATTAATTGCTTAGGAGGTGGATTTGTAATATCACTTTTGACTTCTGAGTGATTCTTAGAGCAGCTGGAATCTCATGAGAATATCATCCGTGGGTCCAAGAGTTCGTTGTGCAATTTAACAAAATTCAAAGCCCTTTTTTCTTGACGGATCTTGCAGACGAATCTGACGAGCCCATGTTTTGTGAGTATGATCAGTGATGTGGCAAGCTATAATTCGTTCATAAATACACTCTAATTTTATCCGATTTCATTTTTTTTGCGAGACAACTACACATTCATTTCCTCTTTTCTTCATCGAGGTCTCGATTCTCAGGCGAATTCGATTCACCATCTCGTATCTAACCGATGAATCAGTTCACTATCTCCGCCGCGACGAGCAAGGTATATGTGTGTTTGGGATTTTCGTCTTCGGCTTGAATCAAATTTGGGTGAAATTAGGGTTTGTATCAATTGGGGAAAATCTGGGTTGTATTCATATGATACTCTAAAACGAGTATTAGGGTTGGAGGGGTAAAATGAAGTTGAGTCTTTCAGAATTACAAAAAAAAAATAAAAAATTGCAAAAAAACCCCTAAAAGACTCAAAGAGGGTATCAGCGTTGTAGTTGCTCTTAGGAATTGCCATCTTAAGACGTGAGGTGTTTATTGTACACCAAAACAAATAACTGCGAAATGTTAAATATAAAACTAATTTAGGGGCTAAAATATAATTAACAGAATTTCTACTCGGCCGGTTTAGGGATTTCTTCTCCTTGTTCGTCGTCATCTTCTCCAACCACTTACTGTCATCGCCGGCGTTCTGTGAAGTAATCACCTAAGTTGCGAAGTAGTAGTAGTAGAAGAAAATGTACGGAGACGCTACAAATTGGAACGAGGATGAGTATAGAGAAGCAATTCTGAAGGAACGAGAAGTACAGACACGTACCGTGTTTCGAACCGCCTGGGCTCCTCCAGCGAGGAACCCTAATCCGGATGCCTTTGTTGTCGCTTCCAGCGACGGAACCCTAGCTTTCCATTCTATGAAATCGCTTGTGTCCCAATCGGCCGGTTTTGGCTACTCGAAAGGTCAGGACGTCATGGTAGCTGAGCCTGAGGGAGTGGTTAGGGCACACGACGGACCCGCTTATGATGTCAAGTTCTATGGCGAAGAAGAAGATGCTTTGCTCCTCAGGTAAAATTTCAACATTGGTAATTCAAAGTTCGAGTAGAGAAATCAGAGGTTGATTTATGAATTGGGCGATTTCGTTCTGTAGTTGTGGTGACGATGGCAGAGTTCGAGGATGGAAATGGAAAGAAATTGCTGAATCAGATGCGTCTCTTCATTTGCAAGGTGTGTAACCATTTTTGTTGTTTTGATTCTCTCTTCGAGTTTGAAGATTGTGAGCTTTTTCTATCATCTACAGAGAATCATGCGAAGCCATTGCTTGAATTGACTAATCCACAACACAAGTGAGTCTTTTTTTCCTTTGAATCCTAAATGATCACTCTGTCTGTGTGGAAAGGTGTGAAATTTCGGTATCCATAGTAGTTTGGTTATAATTGATCCTGGTGAGACTTTATTTTTAGAAATGCATATAGTCACCATTCTTTTTCTTTCCTCATAGAGGTCCTTGGGGTGCTCTTTCACCGATGCCCGAGATCAATGCCATTTCTGTTGATTGTCAGGTTAGAATTTTTAATTCTGGTTTGATAGTTTCACTTGATGTGGTGTGTTTTTCCCCTTGAAATGTCCATCTTATTGCTTGGTTGCAGATTAACTGTACATTCGTTCCTCATTTTTCGTTTATGATAGTCAGGAAGTGTATTTACGGCGGCGGGTGATTCTTCAGCATATTGTTGGGACGTGGTATGTAGTTGATCATTGTGAATGTATATCACATGTTTTACATCAGGTGTGGTATTCAGATATCTAAACTTCCAAGAACCATTTATGTGTTTCCTGACATTTATAGGAGAGTGGTAAAATCAAAATGACCTTCAAGGGGCATTCAGACTATTTGCATTGTGTAGTTTCACGTAGTTCTGCAAGTCAGGTAATGGTGGTGTTTCGATAAATATTACAAGTGCACCTTCATATTCGTATTTGAGTTCCAGGTTTGGATTTTCTTCTGATCGTATTAAGTCTCTTGAACCAGATATTGACGGGGTCAGAGGATGGGACTGCAAGAATCTGGGGTATCTTTCTCGTGCCCGTTTTTCTTTCTGCTGTAATTTCTAGTATTATGTTTGGATCATCTCTGGTTGAAATCATCTGCGTCTTCATGTTGGTACTTGAGATCCAATGCTCCTCAGTTTTGTTGCCTGCTTCTCGAAACACAATAATAATTCATTTTGGTGATTACAACATTTTGCACTATGTTTAGTTTAGGTTCCGGTTCATGTGGTATGCTTTATTTGTCTAGGCTAAGCTTTGTACGCTCAAGGGCTTCCTTCTGTTTTGGCAACCAGATTGCAAGACAGGGAAATGCATTAAAGTAATTGGTTCGCAGGATAAAAGGTCCCGCTTTCGGATTAGTTCTATGGCTCTTGATGGAAGTGAAAGCTGGTTGGTAAGAATTAGTAAATGAATTTTCTCATTATACTTCCACAACCTGCTATTTCTTTCAAAGGGTTGTTGCCTATAATAACCGGGATTTTACTGTTATTGGTAAAATTTTCTCCTTTTTTCAGGTTTGTGGACAAGGCAAAAATTTAGCTTTATGGAATCTCCCTGCCTCGGAATGCGTATCAACAATATCCTCCCCTGCTCATGTACAGGATGTAATGTTTGATGAAAAGCAGGTAAGCAGAACAAGATGTTATTTGTAGTATCAAAACAGCTGTAATTGATAAAAATTTAGTGAATTTTATAAACTAGAAACATAGATCAACACGTAGTTTTAGTTCCGTTGTGTAGGTTGAACATTCTTTCTTTGTATATTATATGTTGTTTTATTATCTAACAAGTATCCCGCTTTCAGATTTTGACAGTAGGAGCAGAACCACTTCTAAGGCGTTTCGACTTAAATGGAGCTTTGCTTAATCAAATTCAGTGTGCTCCTAGTTCAGTATTTTCCGTTTCCTTGCATCAAGCAGGAGTATGTTTCTGATCCCTATCCCTACACGTTTTTCTTTTCTTCCCTTGTCCTATATGCGTATCTGTTTATCTCCCTAGAGTTTTATCATAATTAGTTATCTATAATCAGTATCGAATCGACTTTTATTTGATCTGCCTTGCTAAACTGATTACCAAATCCCAACAGTCGATATATCCAGAGATAACGCTATGATATGTGAATTTGTTACACGTTATGGAGTGGAAACCGAATGTTTAGCCGTTTTGATTCAATGCTTTCGTTTATTTGTAGGTAGTAGCTGTGGGAGGTTATGGAGGCCTTGTTGATGTCATCTCTCAATTTGGAAGCCATCTCTGCACATTTCGTAGCAGCTCATTGTGAAACCCCTTGCAATTTCTCGGTTTGGCCTAATAAACTACAGAGGTATTAAAAATTGGGATGCAAAAGCTTTGTATTAGTCAGAAGTTAACAACCGTTTTGTGTTTTTCTTAGGTTCTTGCCCTTGAAAAAGATTTCAAGTTTCGTTTCATAAATGTTCTCATGGTTAGGGGAACAGAAGTGTGTTGGTCCGGTTCGGCTTGATTTGACTGTAAGACTAAATAATTGAATGCCAGTATTTCAAACAACAATAGTCGTTTAGATTTATTATTTGACTACATGACTTTTTCTGTGATCAATATGCCTTAAGATTAAAGAACACATAAGCATTTAATTTAATCAATAATTAATCTTATTTTCTTCAAAAATCCATGGGAAGGAGTCAAGGACTAAGGAGGATCATCTAAATAATTTGGCAATAAGATTTTTAAAATTATATATATAAAGATATATATATCATTAGAAAAAGTAAACTTTCAAGTTTAAGAGATGAAAAAGGTGCTTGGGTCAAAAGTCGAGATTTGAACACACCAATGCATGGCATTGTGTTTCAGTCACTGACAGTAACAGTCTCTCGACCCATTATTCCCGTTCCATTGTGAATTCTTGTTTTATTTATTGCAATTCTTAAGATTCCTTTTGTATAACAGTAAAATTTCACATGATTGTGAAACCGAGTCCGTAAGATTGACTTACCTAATTATTATGTAGATTGGGAAGAGATTGCATATAACGATTGATGTACAGTATTTTGATTTGCCATTGTTATTTATGCAATAATCTTGCTAAAGAGTAATCTTGTTAAAGGATAATCTTGTGAAAGAATATCAGTGTCCCTTTCACCTAGAGCCTTTAGGTCTATGGTCCTATTTGTTTGTCTGCTGCTTGCTAGTGGTTGCGGTTGCGGCTGCAACCTCCGGTCAGACACAACAGTTGTTGTTTGTTTGGCAGATGTGCCGCTGGTTGCTATGAAACATCACTTATATATTGGTTGAGTTTTTATACCCATAAGAAATCTCTAAAAGCAACCTTAAATCGTCAAATATTCAAATATGAGGTTTTATTCACTGTTCAAATCTTCAAATTTGAGGTTTGCAGTTTTTATTTATATTTTATTCTTTACAATTATATATTTCATAAATAATTACTTTATTTTTTATGTTTATCATTTTAATCCAAACAATTATAATTTTTTATTTTATTATAAAGTTTATAATGTAATTTTAGTAAATGATACTTTTAATATATTTTTTGTTATTTATAAAGTTATATGAATTTTTATTAATAATAATTAAAAGTAAGAATTATAATGTAATATTTTAAATTTTATGATAGAAAATTTGAGGTTTTGTTTTTGGAGACAAACACCATCAAACCTTAAATTTGAAGTTTAGCCAACCTCAAATTTGAAGTTCTTTTTGGAGATGCTTTAAATAAATAAATTTTTTTTTTTTTTGTCGTATTTCCTTTGGATTACGCAATGTTGACAATATATGTATTCTAAGTATCCTCTGCTAAATTTACCTAAATTTTTGTGAAGGTTTTGATTGAAGTAGAAAAAATGTATTGCTTAAATGATTGAAAAAAATACAACACTTTGAGTATTATGGGTAGATTACTACTAAATCATTAATAACATCCTGATTAGCACAAATTGTGGTATTTTCGTGGCAATGTCATGAATATTCTCTCAGTAGAGGAGAGATTAGGCAAAAACTAATATGTTTGTATTTCTCTAAATTAATAAGAATAATACAATAACAAGAGAAATAAAAATAAAATATCTTCACCGCTTTTCAATTAATCTTCCGTCACCATTGTTGTCATCTTGCTCTTCTCTCCCTCTTGAATTTTTTTCTCCTTGGAAACCTTTGCTTCTCTTTCTAGGAAGGAGACACGATCAACCGATTTCTTAGCATCCTCGTGCAATTTCCATTTCTCTACAATCTTCCCAAAATCTACTTTTCTTTCCAATTAGATTCTGATTCTCTACGGCATCTTCTCGTCCACCCTTTCCTTTCCATTTCTTCTGCATGCTTTTCGATTTTCCTCTCTCGCCTTCTTCTTCTTCTTCCTCTTGAACAACCTACTCTTTCAAGCTGTTTCGTTGAACGCTTCGCAATGGCGATTTTGGATTCTGGAGGCGTAGTGACGCCGACGGAAAACGGTGGCGGAGAGTTTGTGGATCTCGACAGGCTTCGTCGACGGAAATCAAGATCGGATTCCAACGGACTTCTTTCTGATTTCGCATCCCGCACCGATACTGTACCGTCAGATGATGTCGGAACGCCGGCCGACGTGAGGGATCGGATTGACTCCGGTGCCGACGACGCTCAGGAAACAGCGAATTTGGCCGGGGATAACGGCGGAGATACCGATATTAGGGAAACCGGTGGAGGAGGAGCAGGAGGAAACGCCGATGTAAGGTTTACGTATCGACCGTCGGTTCCAGCTCATCGGAGGGCGAGGGAGAGTCCACTAAGCTCTGACGCAATCTTCAAACAAGTAATCGCTGATTCTACTCCTAACATATTTGGTGCTTGATACTGTTTAATGTTGGAGGAGAATTTGAAATTGAGTTCGTAGCTCAACTTGTTCTTGCATTTAGTGATCGATTTTGTGATTGTTTTCCATTGCAGAGCCATGCCGGATTATTCAACCTGTGTGTAGTAGTTCTTATTGCTGTAAACAGTAGACTCATCATCGAAAATCTGATGAAGGTTAGTTACTTCTTTCTCCTGTTGCTTGAAACTTATGAGATTATTTTGTAAAAATTTTCTGGAGCTAAGAACTTTACCAGAGATCTTACCATTGTTGTTGCTATCATTCCTGTAGTACGGTTGGTTGATCAGAACTGATTTCTGGTTTAGTTCAACATCGCTCCGAGATTGGCCGCTTTTCATGTGTTGGTAAAATGCTCTGTTCACAGTCTTTTGGATAGTGACATTCTTATACATATAATGATGATCAGTTATAGTGAATCGATTGTTCTTTAACTCTTCTGCTGCAGTCTCTCCCTTTCAGTCTTTCCTTTGGCTGCCTTTACCGTCGAGAAAATGGTACTTCAGAAATGCATATCTGAACCTGTGAGTAAACTACTGTCTAGCCATTACTGGATTGTTTACTGAAGACGAATTTGTAACTTACATAACTCTTTTCTGATAATACTGAAGGTTGCCATATTTCTTCATATTATTATCACCATGACAGAGGTCTTGTATCCAGTTTACGTCACCCTAAGGTGAGAATTAAGCTACGGTGTTTCTGATCTCAGCTTTGTGATACTCTCCTTTTAAGTTTAGTTGGCTAACCCGATGATCTTGAAAATGGACAGGTGTGATTCCGCCTTCTTATCAGGTGTCACATTGATGCTCCTCACTTGCATTGTGTGGCTAAAGTTGGTTTCTTACGCTCATACTAACTACGACATAAGAACCCTTGCCAATTCAGCTGAAAAGGTAAAAGAATCAACAAAGGGAGTATAGATTAGCCACTTGCGTTGTGTTACTATTTTAACCAGACACTGTTATAAACTTTAGGTCGATCCTGAAGTCTCCTACTACGTTAGCTTGAAGAGCTTGGCATATTTCATGGTTGCTCCTACATTGTGTTACCAGGTAATGAGATCCATCTTCTGCTAATAGCATCAAACATTCTTACACTTTGCAAAATTTTCTTGTCTAAACCTCGCGTCTTTGCTTTTTCCCAGCCGAGCTATCCACGTTCACCATGTATCCGGAAGGGTTGGGTGGCTCGTCAATTTGCAAAACTGGTTATATTCACTGGATTCATGGGATTCATAATAGAGCAAGTGCGTTTTCAACATCTTGGTTTTTATTTTTCCTTGTGAAAATCATCATTTCTGCATTGTTATCCACTTGACTTCAATTTTTCAAAACTTCTCTGGCAGTATATAAATCCCATTGTTAGAAACTCAAAGCATCCGTTGAAAGGGGATCTTCTGTACGCCATTGAAAGAGTGTTGAAGCTTTCAGTTCCAAATTTATATGTGTGGCTCTGCATGTTCTACTGCTTCTTCCACCTTTGGTATGTCGTGATCTCTTCTCTTTCGATATAAATTTCCAGAGACGAACAACAGAAAAAAGGCTATCTCATCAAGAAATTGATAGTTTTAGCTTCTCATAATCAGAGATGTAATTTCAGTATAAATTTCTTTGCATTATTCTTGTCAACAGGTTAAACATATTGGCAGAGCTCCTCTGCTTCGGGGATCGTGAATTCTACAAAGATTGGTGGAATGCAAAAAGTGTGGGAGATGTGAGTTGTTATTAATCTCGTCTTATTCAAAAAGCATATGATTTTTTATGGTCTCGTTGTTTATAGGTCAATTAACTAACCAAAATTCATGTATTCACTGTCTTCCTTTATCAGTATTGGAGAATGTGGAATATGGTATGGTTCTCTTCCTAAAACAACACCTTCTTTTCTATACAAAACATAAGAAGAGAGCTAAAAGAGATCTTGTTTTTTCTAACAGCCTGTTCATAAATGGATGGTTCGACATATATACTTCCCATGCCTGCGCAGCAAGATACCCAAAGTGAGGAAGATATGTAATAATAGTGATTTGCGTTGATCGAGTTTAATTTACTGTGGTTTATAACTTTAAACATCCACTCGTTTTTTCCCCAGGTACCCGCCATTATCATTGCTTTCTTAGTCTCTGCAGTCTTTCATGAGGTATATCTAACTCTTCTGCATTGTCTGTCTCTAGAGACATGTTATTGAAACAAAAGCTAATATTTAAAGCATTGTTCTTACTTCTTACGCACAGTCTCGTGTTTACAAATTTCCTTACAGTTATGCATCGCAGTTCCTTGCCGTCTCTTCAAGCTATGGGCTTTCTGGGGGATTATGTTTCAGGTAAAAAAAATAAAAAAATTCACAAAACTTCCGCAGTCGAGCTTCACAAACAACCTGGAAGTCTTTGTCACTTTTAATCATAATTTCTGACAATCCAATGTATTTGAGTAGGTGCCTTTGGTCTTTATCACAAACTATCTACAAGAAAGGTTTGGCTCCATGGTATGCTCTCTAGACTCGAAAGACTCGATAACTCTTCTTTTGATCCTCGCCACTTACTTCATTGATTTGTTGTTGAAATATTAAAGAAATAATCTGTTTTGGAATGTGATGATTAGGTGGGAAACATGATCTTCTGGTTCATCTTCTGCATTTTCGGACAACCGATGTGTGTGCTTCTTTATTACCACGACCTGATGAACCGCAAAGGATCGATGTCCTAAAAAACCCAACTCAAAGGACTTTCGTACGCCATTACGCCACAGATGTGTTTGATGCTAAAAAAAAAAAAAAAAAAAAAAAGGTGTTTCACCAATTGTGGATTGAAGAAGGAAAGAAAAGTAGAATTCGAGTTGTATCTGCAAAAATTTTGGTAGTGTTAAAAGACTTTGAAGAGACGAATCCTTTTGAGTTCTGTTTCTTTTTGTCTGTCACTGGATCTGCTCTTTCTCGTCTTTAACAACCCCATAAAAAAAGTAGATTGAGAAATTGGATTTTGTTATGATATAGAGAAATTTCAATGAAACTGTTGTAATAATTCTAACTGCTACAATTACCAAATACTGAGAAAATAAATAATTGAATGGGTTCCCTTTCTTTCCTTCTTTTTTTCTTTCTGTTTTTGGAAACAAAGGTAATAAAGGTATGTGTTTTTAGGTTTTACTGTTAGACCAAATCGAGTAAAAACCTTTTACTGTTAGACCAAACAAAGGTAATAAAGGTATGTGTTTTTAGGTTTTAGTAGATTTTTGAATGGGAAAAGGACAAAATGTGATAATTGCATGGGGATTGTATGAAAACAAATCAAGTTGATTGGTGGTCCCATTAGTGGGTGCCGATTTATTTTATTTTTCGCGTATTTTTCTAAATCGTGCGTATTTAAGGAGAATATTTTAATTTTGCATAAGTGTTAACACTGTTTTCCATTTAATCATTCTTCTTTCTTTTGTCAACCTTTTTTTGTTTTGGTTAATATGATGGGAAGGAAGATTGGACCAAAAGCCATGCGAATTCCATGTTCAATAGAAAAGTATTGTATTCATCAGGGAGAAATATAATTTTATGGTTGGAAGATAAGTCGAATGTGGTATAAGACTATTATTTAAAAACCAACCAAACAACACATATGTAAGTCTACCGTTGGTATATAAAATCCTATATAAAAATGTCCAAATTATAAAATACATACAAGTGGAACTTAAAAAAAAAAAAAACAAGTGCAACATTATAAAATACCTAGATAAGAAATACAAGTCAACGGTTTAAATTATAAGTATATTGAACGATGTTGAATTTTGTTTACATCATCACAAGATCATGCACCCTGATGTGTTTTTTCTCTGCCATACCATTATATGTATTCAAAGAGATCAATGTTTACATGCTGCATATTTGCAGGTTTCACTAATTCTAACTTGCAAACCTTTTTTCATTTGATCCCCTTGAAGGTGCACGATCCAAACAAAAAAAAAATATTTCTTTTTGTTGTTGTTAAAGAGCATAAAATTTCACCAAATTTTACATGTCCCAGCTCAGAGTCATGGACTATATTCCATGATTCATAATCATGTTTGAAACATGAACGATAAATTTACGTATTTTTTTTGTTAAAGAGCTTACTTGAATATAAAGAATGTTAACAGATACAATGAATCAAACAAGAACCAAAAGGAGCCTAGAAAAAGTTCAAAGCAGGAAACAGATTACAAGGATCATAAAAGGTAGAGCATGCCTATCACAACACGCTTTACCACCAACCAACCAAAAGAAGAGAAGCTGATTAAAGAGATCAGTCAATTCGGCGTCCAAAGGGCGACCAGGCCATCGCCATATTTCGAACCAATTTGAAGAAGAGCCCTGGATTTGTTCCTAAGAACAGCCAGTATTTTAAGGAGTACCTGAGAGGGTCTTAGGGAAAACCCATCATGAAAACGCCGGTTGCGCTCAGCCCATATCTCAAACATTGAGGCTTGCCATCCCTGGACCAAAGCTAGAAACTAGACCTTTGTCGTTGTCGCAGTGGGGAGCCAAAGCACGACCTCATTCCAAGATCCAGGGATGAAGGATAAGTGAAGATGAGCGAGCACCTCTCGCCAAACCTCATAGGAGTAGGTGCATTCAAAAAACAGGTGGTTTCTCGATTCAGTAGAGGAGCCACATAGCAGACAAGTGTTTTCGACATCCAAACCCCAAGCAGAAAGTCTATCCAAAGTTGGGTTTCTGTTGAGAGTAAAAAGCCAGGCCGAGAAAGCATGCTTCAGAATAGCGACCTTATGCCAGACAAGAGGAAACCAGGCGACTTGGGCTTTGCGATTCCTAATTGTATCCCAAATCTCTTTAGAGGAGAAAGAATCCTTAACTTTGCCAGCAACAATCCAAACTGGGTAATCAGTTCTGCACGATGGAATGAGCTGAGAGATGGAAGCATAAACCAGAACCTGATCATCCGATCTAGCAGGTGGCAACCTCCAACTATCTTCAACAACGAAGTCCGATACCAGAGCATCGATAGGGATTCCGATTCGGGAAGGACCTGTAGCCCCAAGAAAGTTGATTAAGGGTCCATGCGAAGTCCACGGATCCCACCAAAAGAAAGTGTCTTCACCATTACCAATCCGAATGGATAAGAATTGTAAAGCCTTCTTTCTTAGAGATAAAAGCTTCTTGAACATCCACGAGAATTTTTGGTTCTTCCCATCTAGGGACCAGAAGCTAGCCGATGAAAGGTAATGGCTCCGGATCCAAGCTACCCAAATAGAACCGCCTCTGAAGAAAAGCATCCAAATAAGCTTCAGACCGCATGTTTCATTCCAAATTAGGAGGCTTCTAAGGCCCAGTCCTCCTTCCTTCTTCGGGTGCGAAATATCAAACCAGGAAACCCTTGCACCCTTAGAATTATCTGAGGTGCCCGTCCATAAGAAAGCAGCACACATACCATTAACCTTCTTTATAATTTTCTTTGGAAGAATAAAAGCTGAGCACCAAAAATTTGTGATACCCGAGATCACAGAAACGATAAGCTGCAGCTTGCCAGCTCTGCTCAAGCACTTAGTAGACCAACCATTCAACTTCTTTTTGACTTGAGATATCAATGGGTCACAATCAGAGGTAGACAGCCGCTTTGAACACAAAGGAAGCCCTAAGTACCTCACCGGGAGAGATGAGGGGGCGAGAGAGTGCTTAATCAGGATACGGGCGAGCGCTTCATCATCCACACCAGAGCAAAACATGGAAGTCTTCTCAATATTAACTGCCAAACCGGAAATCTTTTCAAAGAGAGAAAGAACCTGAAGAACTCCATCAAGAGATTTTTCTGACCCATCCAAGAAGATAAGAAGGTCATCCGCGAAACAGAGATGGGTCAGCTGCTGAATATCACAACCGGGATGATAAGCAAAAACCCCTCCCTCTGCGGCCTGGTTCAACATGAGCGAAAGAATGTTCATAATCATGACAAATAAGGTTGGGGACAGAGGATCACCTTGTCTCAGCCCAGATTGACTTTTGAAGTACCCAGAAGTGACACCATCACTACAAGAAAGATCGGCTTTTACGTCGGCAGATATCGACGTAAAATCGACGTAAAAGAGCATTTACGTCGAATTAACGACGAATTAAAAATCGTCGTAAAATGATCGTCGTAAAACCGAAATCGTCGTAAAATCGTCGTAAAATTACCAACTCCGGAAAATCGTCGTAAAATCGTCGGGAAATATTCGTCGTAAAAGCGTCGTAAATTTTCCAACGGATGTACAACGAAAAAATTCCATCATAAAAACGACGTAAAATCGATGTAAAATTACATCGATTTAACAACGATTAGGAGACGAACAATTTCAATTAAAGGAAACTAAATTTTTAATTATCGATGTTAAATCGTCGTAAATTTTTGACGTAAAGCCGACGTAAACTTATTCGTCGTAAATTCGTCGTTAAATATTCGACGTTAAATCGACGTAAATTTACGACGAATTTACGTTGATTTATAAATTAATTATTTAATTCGATTATAATTTAATTAATAAATTTTTAAAATAATCAAAAAATTAAAAATAGAATTTAAATTCAAAAATAATTTATAAATAAAAAAAAATTTATACAAATTGTTTTTTACAAAAAAACCTAATCTACAATGATGTCGTAATCGTCGAGATTGAGATCGACGTCACGAGGAGGCTCTCCGTCTTGGCCGCCCGTCGCTGCTAAGCCGACGTTTCCCGTCTGCACTACCGGAGCCGAAGTCTGACCGCCCGTCGCTGCTGAGACCGGAGCCGAAGACTGACCGCCCTGCGTCTGGTGGTCCGATGGTCCAGTACCGGAACTACCACCGGTCTCAAAAACCCTCCGTGCTCGCTGTTGCCTCGCTCGGATTGCGGTGGCCAACTGTGGAACCGCTTCCGCAATGATGTCGAAGAGATCATGTATCTCGGTGAGCTCCTGCTTCTGGGCCACTTGCTCATGCCTGAGACTGGTGATCTCAGCATTGGCCGTAGCAAGCTCCTGGCGAAGCTGCGGATCCTGCGAGCGGTATCCGGAAGCCGTGGCGGCAGGACAGTCTCTAATAGAGCCCATCCCTAAGGTTCGGCCCTTCTTCTTCGGAGCAACCTACAAATGGAAAATAAAAACGTTTATTATTTATTAAGTAATTATAAATATAATAAATTTTTAAAAAATTGAAATAGATATCATACCTCTTCGAAAATCTGGTCTTGCTCAGCGACGGTCAACGGTACTTGGATAGTACCGTCAGGTGTGGCCTGGGTCTCCCGCTCGGCGATCCGCTGCATAGCGGCATTGTAGATCTCCTCGGACCGAGCGTCGACAAAGCTCCCGTCCTTCTTCCGGTGAGTGGTCTCGAAGAGCTTCGTCATTGGAGGTAGTTCTCCTCCGTTCTCCTCGGCCTACCAATTAATAAACATTATTAGTCAAAAATATTTAATTAATTCTAGCAATAAATAAAATTAAAATAATAATGAAATAATTTATATTTAATTACTTACCATCATGAGACGTCTTCCCGCAAAAGATATTTGGCCAGAAGTGTGCGGGGTCACTAACTTCTCACCAGTCACCGGATCGACCCGGTTTCGGACGGCCGAACACTTAGCAGCGGTGGTTTGGGCATGCGGGTCCACCCAATACGCCTTCAACCCGTTCCAACACCAAGTAGACATGGAGCTCGGCTTTGCGTCGTCGCCGTCGGTCTCCCATTTCCGCTTCCAATCGGAAACGGTGTTGACTAGGCGTTTCTTCGCCTTTTCCTCGAAAGCTTCGCGGACGGTCTCGTTGATCCCGATGTCCCAGTTCCACCGTTGCTGCAAAAAAAAACAAAAAATTAGATAAACAATATAAAAGTAAGATTAATTAAATTTAAAACAATTTAAAATGATATAAATAAGATTTTAAAAATATTACCGCGAAGCACTTGTACCAGGTGTCGCACGTCTCTTGCGACACCTTGCTCCAGTTGACGTGCGGCTCCACGAAATGACTCTTAATTGTGTCAGAAACGCTCCGCCCGACACAATTATCCAAAGTAA